TCCTTGACTGGCATGTGAAGGCCTTTATCGGGCCCCTCTACATACCAATTTGCGGCTTCGGCCCCGGACGACGGCGGTGGATGAAACGGCTAGAGTTTGTCGCAATTTCCTTCTTTGAAGGAGTGACTGAAAGGCCGAGAGTTGGACTACAGTGGGTTCTTCCCCATGTGGCCTTGCTGGCACTCTCCCATTGACGTAAACTCCGAGCCGCCCTCTGTGAAACCGTCATACATTCTGCGGAGACCAGACAGTGTGTGGCATGCGTAGATGGGGTGGTTATCTTCGGCAGCCCCTGCGACCAATCCCATCACCCCTTGGTTAATAGGTCCGGACAGTCAGCTGGAGCATGGGAAAGGGAGGGGTTTGCGGGCGACAATGATGAAACCATCCTACGGCAATTAAGCACACTGAATCTACTATGATGCACTAAGAGACGCCAGCTGATGATATACCTCAGGGCTGTCGGGTTGCAATGGTTCTCTTTCATGCGGTCTTAACGGCCTAACATGCATGTGAAATCAGACCCAGCCTTGCAGTGCCTTAATGCACGTGGTGTGGTCAGATGATGTGTGGTACCTTGTTAGTTACTGCGCCCGTCCCACTTCCGACCGTTTTGACATTGTCTTGTTGTCGGAACCTAATGATTCAGGGGAAAGAGCTGTGCTAGTCTGCTGCACTATAAACTAATTCACACGCAAGCCACTGGTGTTCCGCGGGACACACAGTGGACGTCGTTTCTTGCAATGGCCGAACCGTCACGTGACTGACTTATCAGTCACACCCGAGGCAAATAATACTGTGGTGTCCGCGACTGTTCATTCATCAGGTTTGTTTTTCTTCGGTCGGTCCACTAGCCGTCGCCGCCGGATAACAGACAGCTAAATTAACTGAGATACTCCCACCCCCATTTCCGAGATGTCCCTCATCTCAGTCACTTGGTTTTAATGACGCGAAACGGATGACAAAAAAACTCTATTAGCGGGCACGTGCTGTGCGATTTAAAATTACAGTACATCAGACAGCGAATATGCCGCGTCCTAGTTTTGAATCATGCTACCCAACAAGTCGAATGGCCAACGCAAAGAACCGGGGTAACTGCTTCCTCTACCTCCTTCTCCTCCCGCCCTCCCAATAGTTGCTTATTTAAAGAGAGCAAAGAAAAGTAAGAAGAGGGGCATACCCCTGGCCGATTTTCTCCATTTTCCGATACTTTTCGTTGGGACTGCCCTGAGTTACGAGTTGTTTCAGACAAGAATAGACCTCCTCATCTGTGATTTGGTGCTTACTCCTTCCCACCAGAGGCGCTTGTTTCTGGTCCCCGTGGGGACGGTGGTGAGGAGAGTGCTTGGTCTTACTACTGCTGCCGGCAGCAGCGACAGCGGACCGGCCACCGCCAGTTGTCAGGCTGGATTGAGTGGCGTTCGGCTGGTGGAGTGCTTGACCGGAAGACTTCTCGGCTGACAGCAGCTGACCCTCGGAAGCCCGACTTGTGTTAATCCGAGCAATTTCAGCCGCCGCCTCAATGGGGATGGTGTACTACATAAAAAAGGATCAGAGCAAGACAGGATGTAACATGCGATAAGATTACATCCGAGGCGGGATCTGTACAAGATAACGAAGTAGAGATAGACGAAAAGAAAATCAACTGTCTGAAAGAAGACTTTTTGAAAGAAGACTTTGTGAAAAGGAGAAACAAGAATTGGGCGGTTAAGGTGTCCTACGGCTGTAGTGAGGTATCCAGCGACCTTGTTGTTTAGGATCGAGGGCAGTCCACAACAACTATCATAACAAGAAGCACCGAAGGTAAGAACTCGGCATAACAAAATATGCAGTCAGTGCCTAACCTTATTTAATGTTAACCGTCATGCCAAAATGCGTTTTGATCAAGAAGGATTACTAAAGTGGGGTCGCAGACGCGCCAGAATGCCAGATTTTGATTAAGTCTTTTACCGGTAACGCCTGGCTTAGGAAAAGTTTATGATTATGCTTTTGGTGAATAGACGCTCATCGATCGGTTACAGGTCTAACTCGCCCCGTACTGCTTTGAGGTTTACTCTCGAACCCCGCCAACAGCCACACAGCAACTAGCATTAAAGGTATTGCTATTGTTGAAGACCATTTAACACCTTGCCTGCCAGTTTGTTACGAACTCTATTCGACTGACATTTGGGATTCACATTTGGGTTTATCATCTTAGATAGTTGTGG